TCAAATCGCTTCAAATAATAATTTACGAAGTATTCAGATAATATTTTTGTGGTAAAAAAAACAGACCTAAGCGAGAAACAACCTTTAAAATGACATAAAATGCATTTTATAAAAACAATGAGGCAATAATGATTAAGAATAATCGTATGGTTTCTTTGAATAACACTGTGTAGGGATTTCTTAAATATGAGCAGACACTGATATCAGCATTCAGTTAAGTTTTAACAAAGCCCTCTGGCTTAGTCTTCCGCTGGGCTCGCACTCTCACGCAAAAGAACGTTGGTTTTCACCTTGGTGAGCGCGAAAAAAGCGCCACGCCATACCACCGCATAGCAAGACCATCTAAGAACTCAGAAACTTCAGTGAGACTTCGCGATCTTCAGAGAACTTGAAAGTCTTTCAAACTCAGACTTTAACAGAACTGCTCAAGCCTCTGTGTCATCAAGGAATCGACCAACCCAACGAGGGCTTCCCCAGAATGTGGTAATAATCATTAATTCCCTTACAACTAAGTAAAATATTACAACTGTTAAAATACATAATGTAATAGCCTACAAAATAAACAATTTATGTACATCACATATTATTACAAATGCCTATAAAGGGTGCCATAAGCCTGGTAATTGCTGTTGTAACACTTGCAGGATGATCAAATCCAAACATTTAATTCAAATATCCACTTAATCTTACATGTTTGGCCACCTTTTTGTGATAGAAATGCTAGCCTCTATAATTTCTTCAACAAAAACATGTGGACATCACAACCCTTACAAAAACTAATCCTTGGTTTTATCGAAGTAAAATTGTTTAATTTTCTTTTCTGTGATTTCTGAATGCTTGGCTATAAAATCAGACAACAGTATTAGTAAAATCATAGCCATAGGCAACTGTCTAGCTACAATTGTAATTTGTAAATAATACAATTTAGTTAGTTACTTTTATATTTGATTAAAGTTCTATTTTGATCCCTATAGTAGGTGTGCTTTTTTTTAACTTCCATAATATTTTGGGAAGGGGGCACAACAATACAATTCTGCTTAGGCCAGCAGCGGCCCTGGTATAATATATATTAATGCAATCAAAATAATGAAATACCATTAAATATGAAGTGTCTGTATAATATATGTTTTAAAATAATTATTATTAATTTGCAGGACTTGTTTTGAGCCTAAACAGGCCAGGGGGGTATTCCAAAAAGCAGGTTATGTGACATACCCAGGTATGTTTGAGGATAAGCGAGCGGATAACCTCAGCTTTCAGTTCCAACATCGGAGGTAACTTTCAGGGTATGTAAGTAGCCATAGCAACTTGCTCTCTGAAGATAACCTGCTCCGGAGTAGGTTCTGTTTCAGGGTTAGTTCACTTCAACGCTATCAGAGCATGATCTACTGACGAGCCTTCAGTGGGCAAAACGGTTATGACGTAACGAAGCCTCGCTTACTGAAATCACGTGACTTTGACATTTTGATACGCGCTCTGCATCCCAATTCGCCTACTTATAATATGCCCTAAAAGTATGTTCTCTTTTTGTGAAGAAAAAGTACATACCTTTGAGTATGTAGAAGAATAGGAGGCAAGCTTTGGGACATACTACTTCGTCATAGCTGCTTCTTTAACGGACGCTCTGTTGCTTAGTTACGTGCATTCTGTCACTGTTTAAACTTCCCTGTCAATCATCTTGTCACAGTTAACATCATCCACATTTCGTTTAATTTGATTTCCTACCGTATTGGAGAGAAATGAAGAGGCACGTTCATCTGCTAGTCGCGGATCTATCATGCTGAGAACTCAGCTCATGTGTTTAATGATTCTGAATGAAACTTGAATTGAATTGAATTCAACTTTAATTGAATGTGTTTAATGATGCATTTAAAAGTTAATGACCAAACGTATCATTATAAAAGTTCACAGTGTTGCTGCAGGTGAAATATAGCATGGATTATAAATTAATATTTTTCATCACGTTAGACATTGATTATTTATCACTCAAATCCCTTTCTCTACCTGTCCGTCTGTCGCATATATCTGCCATGTTTGTAGTTTTTTAACACTTTTTATGCGTGTTGTGGACAATATTAGCCATTAGATGCCTTGCCCAAATACCCACACTTGCGGCTTTGCACTTGACCACTTGACAACTTAAATGACATATTTCCTGCATGTTTCTGATAATTAAGAATGTTTTAATGTCGCTGCTATTAGGGCAGATGATCGCAGGAAGCTTAAAGAAAGCACTGAATGACAGATCAATCAGAACCCATGTAGGTTTCTGAAAGAGACGCCTGATTTGCGTTTAGTTTGATGGCTGAGAGGGAGATTTGAGTTTGGAAAGGACTTGTTTTAACTCTTTTCCTCTTTGCTGTATGGAGATCAGGGAGACCATTTTAACCACTGAGTCCAGTAGTGTCTGCCATAATATCGAAGTAACACCATGTCTGCACCGGACGCGAGTGGCGCGGCATGACAAAACACTATAAATCTCATTATAATCAGTAATGCTGTCTACACTGGATGCGGCGCGACACGACAAATCCCCGACAGAAAACTGCTGCTGCATTCTATTTATGATGTATTGACACAAATTTCAAATGATTTTCAATGCTCGCTTTGTCGCATCCAGTGTAGACAGACTTTAGCTGTTGCGGCGCAGCAACTGTCACATCCGGTGTAGACACAGTGTAAGTACGCATCATTGATCATTGTTCTCGCTAAAAATATTTTCTCATAACATAAGATCTGCATTTTAGTTTAAGGATTAATTATTGTGCACCTATAGCACTCCTCGCTGTCAGTAAAACAGCCGCGGTTCAGAAAAACACAGTCAAGCCAGCCGCAATTAAAATTGTGTGTATTGCCATGATTACGGTAATTGCAGGAACACACAGAGAGAACGCACTTTCAGAGCACTTTTCATTTAGATGCCCAGAATTGAGATATGATAGGCTATAACAAGACATTTCTCGATTTCTTTTTTGTACTTCTGCTTTAATATGCGTGTTATATGCGTGATAGTTGTAAGATGGCGCCGACGATGATGGCTGCCTCCGTGGCGTGCTCCGCAGTTGTTTTTATGTTTTTGTTAGTTTGTCCTGTCTTTAGTTATATCCCTGCAATCAGTTTCACCAGAGACGAATTGCTGGACATTTGGCAGTACACACCACCCGATATTTCACTGGTTTTCGATTATTCTGATGTTTTGCTGGACATTGTAGTCAGGGGAGCAGCTATGCTGTTCAGACGCTTCAGGACGCGCAGACGGGGGAAGCGAGCCGGCGCGCTTGTGAAGCTCAGGCAGCGTGGATTCAGGACGCCATTGGCTAGCATCCATCTGGCAAACCTCCGCTCTCTACCCAAAAAAATGGACAAACTCCTTCTGCTCTCCCGGACAAATAAGGATTTTTCAAACTCTGCTGCTCTGTGTTTCACGGAAACCTGGCTGA